TCTCTGTACACAGAGAGCTGTTACCCTTCCCTTTATAGTTATGACACTGCCCGTGACCTGTCTGTGACTTTTACTAAAAATACCTGTGACTAAAATGTAGCCTTACTCATAGTCTGATTTTCCGTCTGAGGTCCCAGAGCTCACATGGAGTTCAAGGGAATTTGTGTGTGCTCAGCACTTCTGGTAATCAAGCTATAAATTGTAGGCTAATTTAATCTGAAAATTTCATTTGATTTGTATCAGCTTGATTTTTTTTTATTTTTTGTTTTTTTAAATTTGTTATTTTCAAAGGAATGGTCACACTCTTTTTGGCGTTCTAAATTATACTAAAACTCCAGGTGGAAGCCGAAGACTTAGGTCTAATATCCTGGAGCCTCTGGTTGATGCTGAAACAATTAACACAAGATTGGATTGTATTCAGGAACTACTCCAGGATGAGGAGCTCTTTTTTAGTCTTCAGGCAGGTAATAGCTTGTTTTATTTTTAAAACACTTAAAATACCCATTTAAATATTTTGGTTTTTATAATAGCTGAAAACTCATAGCATGTATTAATAAAATAGATATGAAACATGTTTTGACTTGTCAAATTACATTTCATAGTGGATTTTAAAAATGCTATGATTTCTAGTAATAGTTCATAATCTGTCATTATTTAATTTGACTTTTTACCTCTTTTTTGATCATTTTGCTAAAATTTTTAGTAAATGAGGCAGACCAGCAAATGGTGCTTTAAAGAGGAATTAAATTCGCAAAACCTTTATTTCTTGGTTTTGGACGGCTTATTGTGGTTTTTGGCTAAACGAGTAATCACTTTTGGTCAGATCAGGAACTCTTTCCAAGGCTTTCACAACACAAAAATGGATGACATGTAGTCTATAGAGCTACACTGTTTAGCTTGATATTATACCAGTGGAGCAGATGTGAATATATAAATACCACCAAATTTTGCAGATCGTCAGAGTGGCTTAGATAGTATGTTTATCCTTTATTTTTACACCTTAAATATTACAAATACACATTTTTAAAATAAAAGTTTGGAAAAAGTTACTGCATCACAACTACCAAAAACAGTGAATGGGAATTTCTCATTCTTTCTCTGTCTCCATCCTATCATAGAAAATATTTTGACATTTATATCCCACCTGTGAAGAAGTAAGGAGGCAAAAGGTATAAAAACACCGGCCCACCCACTTTTTCTTTAGTATTTTTGCTTCCTTTCCCTTGGAAACATGGAGTGTATTTCTCCAGTTTTAACTTCATCCATACCCACCCACCCCATTTCAATAGATCAGAAATATGCATGTGAAGATGGTCCTGCTAGTGAAGGCAGGGGGCTGGACTCGATGACCTTTCATGGTCCCTTCCAGTTCTAGGAGATAGGATACCTCCATTTATTTATTTATTTATTTATAAGATGCAGCAGAGGAGACTGTGTTTTGGCACTTGTAGCTCAAAGGTAGTGAGGTAGGTAGGAGAGGTGGACTATAATATATGCTTTCCCACAAGACTACTTGTCAAACATTGTCTCTTGATCTTGTTAGTGATCAGCTCTCTAACTTGTGAGGAGCAGCTGCTTTCTTTCTATTAAAAGAATAGGACAAGGAACTCCCAGAATCATTAATTTTGATTTTTAACAAATCTGGGAACAAAGAAGGATTGGAAAAAAGTCACCATTTACTAATATTTTAATATTTAAAGAGGGTAAATGGGATGACCCAGATAACTGTGGGCCTCTATCCTGGCAAAATCATGGAAAGGCTGATATGGAATGCAATCAGTGAAGAATTAAAGGATGTTAGCATAATTAATGCCAATCAACATGGTTTTATGGAAAATAGGTCTTGACAAATAAATTTGGTATTTTTTGACAAGATCACGTTTGATAAAGTTTACTGTGTTGGCATAATATACTTAGATTCTAGCATGCATTCTGATTTTTTAAGAATTTGCACTATGTGTAGCCCATGTTAAATGGATTAATATTTACAGATGACACTCAAATTGGTGGAGTGATAAATAATGACGGGGACAGGTAAATTATACAGACAATCCTGGATCATTTAATAAGGTGAACAATATGCATTTTAATACAGCCAAAAGTAGATCATACATCTACGAACAAAGAATGTAAGTCACGCTATTCTGGAATGCAGCAATCCTGAAAAGGACTTGGATGTACTGGCAGATAACCATTTGACTCTGAGCTTCCTCTGTAATGCTGTAGCTAAGAGGGTGAACATGATCCCTAGATGCATAATCGGGAATATCGAGTAGGAGTAGAGAGTTGGTATTATGTCTGTATACTGCATTAGTGAGACCTTTACTGGAATACTGCATTGAGTTCTGGTGTCTCCAATTTTTCCAACATCATTTTTGAAGTGGAAAAGGTTCAGCGAAGAACTACATGAAAGATTTGAGACTGGAAAACAAGCCTTATAGTGAAAGACTAAAGAAGCTCAATCTATTTAGTTTATCTAAGGGAAGGTTAAGAGGTGATTTGGTTACAGTTTCCAATATGTACGTGGGAAAGTGATATCTGACGGTAGATAGCTCTTTAATCCAGCAGAAAACGGCACAGAAAAGGGCCCAGGGTTAGAAACTGAAGCAAAAGAAATTCAGACTATAAATAAGGCACAAAGTTTTAACAGTAAGGGTAATTAACTATTGGAACAACTTACCTAGGGATAGAGTGGATTCTCCATCATTTGGAGTCTTAAGATTTGACATCTTTCTAAAAGGTATGCTGTTGCTCAAACAGAAGTTATAGGTTTGATGCAGAAATTACTGGATGAGGTTCTATAGCCTGTGTTGTGTAGGAAGTTAGATTTGAATGGTTCCATCTGGCCTTAAAATGTATGAACCATACAGCTCTCATTATTTTCTTTGTGACTGTTAGAACAGTTCTGATGTGGGTGATGGTCCTTATGATTTGTAAAAATTTTCACACTGGTCCTTGCCAGAAATGTAGGTCTCCCATTGTGATCTCTCATTCTTTGCCCTTAAGACCAGGTGTGAAATGCAGCAGGAGCTAGGGTAATACCTGAGAAAGGTCAGTACATTATCTCCTTTCAAGTGGAGGCTAATTCCTCAGTTGTGTCCTTTCATGACATTTCTAATATGGAAGTTGTCAACCTTCACCTTCCATCTTTCAGAGTCACAACAGAGTTGTAAAACTTCTAGTTTTCTTTGGATACCAGTCCACCTGGTGATGTTTCCAACATAGCTGGTTCTCTTTCTTCCTCTTGCCTGATAGTATAAGAGCTGGAATCAAGTTGCTCTGGTGATCGGCAAGCAATTTGTCCACAGAAAGATTTTATTTTCTTACCTACAATATCAAATAATTTTGCTCTTTTAAATTGTTCCGTTTCATCACCTGATCATTCATAATTTTGGTTATCCAGCTAATTTTTAACCTTCTGTAACACCAAAACTTAAACGCTCTGAGTCGTGTCTCAGTTTCCTTTTTAAATGTCCAGCTCTCACACCATACAGGAGGATTGACCATATGTTTAGCTCTTCAGCAATCAGTGCTGTAGCACCACTAAAGCACTGCCACACACCAGGGCTTTTATTGGATTTGGGGATCTTTCCTCTGCAGGATGCATGGGGGTCTGCTGCCTCTTCAATAGTTCAGTAGTGCCCACCAGCCAGCATCTTTCTTGAGTTATTGTAGTTGCATAGTTAGTGCTATATTCTGTCTGGCTTCCTTCTGATAAGGTCATTCCACCACAGGCTCAGGTTACAACTCTTGAAATTGCACGGCAGATACATAGTCATCTTAATTGGATGGGAATTTTCAAACAGAGAATGTTGCTATGATTTTTAAGATAGCCTGTTTGCTCTTGAGGACTGCCTGCTACATCTGCAGTCTGACATGTTTTCTGTTATAAGATAGGAAGTAGAGACAATTGACAAGGGACAGTAGTTTATTAACAATGCCGTTTTTGTTATAGTCTCCCACTTTTCCCTCATTTATATTTCAGCCCTCCTACCCTGTTGTGGGGATAGTAATGTTCTTACCGTTCAATATTTTTTAGGTTGTTTAAGTTCTGAGAGTTTCTTTACTGAAGAGAATACAGGAGAGCTGATGTCATTATAGCCATCATGATACAATGACCAAGAAGTGCTCAGATACCATGCTTATGGATGTGACATAAGAATCTAGATAGATAGGTAGTTCTTTTGTCTGTTTTCTTTCTGGTAATTGAAGCTACAATACTTTGTCAAGATTTTTCTGTGATAGGATGAGGGAAGAAAATGACTTCACAAACAGAAGTACTAAATAGTTTTCTGTGCCTGTTTTCTTTTGGAAAATTAAATCACTTATTTGTTAAAGATTTGTTATTAAAATTATCGCAAGTTTTAACTCAGTTTCTAATTTGTGTTTAATTTTGTTTTACAGTGATTTCAAGATTCCTGGATACTGAACAACTTCTTTCAATTTTAGTACAAATTCCAAAGCAAGATACAGTAGGTTTATAAATGCATCTATCTCATAAATAATGAATAATTGTCAGTTATCTCAATAGAGTATGCAACATGTAAACTTCATATAGCAGCTGTACAATTGTATTATAGTGTAAGAAAAAGATTGTACATTAAAAAGGGATGGAAACATAGTTTTAAAGATATACAGTGATTTATATATGTTGCTCCTCACCCAGAAAGATGAAAGTACATACCCCTTAAACTAAACCATATTTTTACTTTGTAACAGGAGAAGAATTTCAGCCAGTCACAAAGTGTTTTCATTTATTTATTTAGATTTATGTAGAGAGTAAAAGAGCACCCATCTAATGCTCTAGGCATCTTTGACAATATTTTAAAAATACACTGAAACAGGCCTGTTGGTTCCCCCAGATCAGCTCAAATACACAGCAACAAAATACATGACTGATGTGAATTGCTCTCACACGATCCACAACTTCCTACACCCAGTCTAATCCAACACTCATTTCTTCGCAAGTGAGGGAGAAAAGGTGGGCAAAGCAGCAAGGCTAACAAGCTCAAGCTGTTACGGAGTTGGAGAGGAACCGAGGCCCTGTTACCCTTGTGGAGAATGACTAAAAAAACGTGACTGTTGTTACTTCACAAATGCCACTGTACTTTTAAAATCTGCATCCTCTTATTTATTCATCCTAATCACACCTTCATCTTAACATCACTGGAGAGTAAGAGAGAGAAGTATTTTCATATGAGCATGAAAGGTAAAATACACCTTTTAATGTTAAAAATTGTATAATAGAAATAATCTCCTTTTTGTAATATACTCATAGTTTTTAGATCGATTGCCCACTTAACTTTGCTTTGTCTATTAATTAGCCTCAGGAGCCTCTTATGCAATGTAAAGCAGTTGAGATTATCCCTTATAAATGGGCTGCAAAAAATTTACTAAAAAACAAACCTCTTTAGTTTAGTTTCAGTTACTAAATAAACTTTCCAAACCTGTCAAGCCAGAACTTAGAATCTTGTTCCTTTTAGCTTCCAAACACAGGCCTTCATGCTTACGCCAAGTGAAAGTCTCTTACAACTATGAAATAAGTTCTCTCTCAGCAGCGATCAGGATACAAACTATTAATACACATAACATAGACAGTACAATTAGATGCAGCAATTATTAACATTTGTTTTATTACAACTCATTTTCTTCAAATATAGCACATGCACAAATTTTCAAGGGGATTAAAATATATTGAAAATTTGAACCTGCCGTATGTAGCAAGCTGTTTTAGAGATAGAGGGATACCGAGAATATTTAAATACAAGTCAACATCTCAAATCAAGGTATTTTTAGGGCCAGATTCTGCCACCCCATTTTGTTTTAAATGTAATTTTAAAAAATCTGTTACGTGCCCCTATCCCCAGTGCATCAACAGCAAGATTTGAATCCTGGACTTCAGCACCGACCTCGACAGCTTCAACTAACTCATCTTAGAGTAGGCTGTTATCACTTCCGTTATTTGCAAACTGCAAAACATTACTAACCAATGACTAAGTGCATCCAACTAGTGCAAAAAAGTATGTCAGGAAAGTGCTTTAGTAACAAAACAGCTGCCTAGACTTCATTGTTAACAAAAGAACTATTCTGATTCAGTATACTTAAAATACAGCCAGTACATCACAATTTTCCTTAGTGTTTCTGGATGCTAGTTCAGACAAAAAAGAAATTAGAAAGGAAATAAATCTTTCTTTGTACTCTCATCCATGTGCCTATTTTAAAATGTTAAAAAATAAATTAAAACACCAAGTTATAATGCAACAGAGAGTCCTGTGGTACATTTAAGACTAACAGACTAATGTTACTAACAGGTATAGAATAAAAAAAACTGTTGAACGATGCTTTTTTTTCTTTTCTTAAAAGCAAGACACACTGAAGTTCCTGGAGTTGTAATTGGTAATGTGTGTATGTGGGGGGGATTTTGGCAGAAACTTGCAATGGTTGGAACAGCTACCCTTGCTTGCTTTCTCCTTGGTAAGGTGACCCAAGGCAATCAAATTGCTCCATCTTAAGAAATATTTCTGTAAATGTCGCCCCTGATACTTTGATTGCACTAAGACACCGTCTGGGCTGATTGCCAAGCTTCATTCTGAGAAGAAAATTCTGCAAAATTCAGTAACATATAAAGGGATTTAATTGAGTTCTGTGAGCACATTTTTCCTTCTAAGAAACTTCAGAACATTAGAAATTGGGTGGGTTGGGGTGTTTCTGTTCCAAAAATTTGTAGCATAATTATTTTTAAAGTAAACTAAGACTTTTTAGTAGATTTTTATGTGTAATTGAATTTTTCATAAAATTGAAATAAAAATACTGTTTAGTATTTCCCACACAGGAGCCTTCACTTTTATTTATATTTTCTATTAATTTGACTTTAAAAACAAGGAAGATTTTCGTTTGTGCCTTTGAAAATCTGCCTTAGCTTCTACATAAGATTTTTCCATTTTTCAAATCTAAAGTTTTCTTCAGTTTCATTTTCAGAAGCCGTTGATTTTCCAACATTGATTTAAACTCTCCACACAAAAATTAGATTTTTTTTTCTTATGGAACTGCTACCTATTCTTTCTTTATAAGGCAACAGCACATAGCAAATGTTCTGTTCTCTGTAAGAAAGCACAAATATTTTAGACTTCTTGTCAGTTGAAGAACTCTTTTGAAAATATTGTATTGTAATTTGAGTTTTCTCAAGCCATATATAGTCAAATATATATATTTTTTAAAAACAGCAAATTTACAAATTGTCAAGCTGGTCATTAGTCATATGAATTTTCATAAATCACTTAATAGTGCATGAAAAATACATTCAGAATATGTGTGTAAAATGCATGCTTGTTTTGAAATGTATTTTAAAAATTTATACGTACTGTATTTGTAATATTTTTTTCCCAACAGGTTAAAGCTGCTGAATCAAAAATAACTAATTTAATCTATCTGAAGCATACTCTGGAACTTGTGGATCCTCTAAAGGTGAAATGTATTCTGTTACTTTTTCTATATAAAACCCAAACTAGTTAATCTTTGTTGTCACACAGTGCAGTTCATTATATTTACTTTATATCTCATGGAACTGTACATTGTCACTGTAGTAACATCCTCTAAAAATAAGACAAGGGCCTCTAAATCTATGCTAAGTTTGATATTGATTTAAAAATAAACATATTTGAGTCTCTAATACTTTCGGAACTGGATTCTGAATGCTAGTTAAAAGCTTAATTTTATAATGATTATGCCAGCCCAGCCGGTAAGCTCTCTATATCACCCCAATTTCAAATAAGCCTAGGTGACTCTAAAGGCCTTACAGACTGTTAAAATGGTTATTTAATCATAAAAACGTGATTAAATTTTAATCTATATTTTAATTTTCAATAGGCTGCTTTGAAAAGCTGCAAGACACATCTGTTAAAGGCATATTACAGTTCTCTGGAAGACAAAAGGTATTGTGATAATATTTTCATAGCTAGAATATCTTGTTGTCTCCTTTTTTCTGAGGATGTCTAGGATTTTAAGATGTTGCTTCTTGAATTATTTATAGATATAGCTCCTGTTTTTTGTGTTATCATTAGAAACTCTTAATTTTACTTATTCTTTATGAAGTTTTTAGAAATTCAGTTTTTCAACTATTGCAGGAGAAATTTTAAAAAAGATAAACAGAAAATTGGTTTTAACAATAGTTGATTGGTTATGAATGACAAACATAATTGGAGTTCTTACAAAATTTAAATACTCCAGTAGATATTATTGAAAAGACAAAAAAAAATTGAGAATACTTTGATTTCTTAGAATCACCCAAAATGACTCAGGACAAGTAGCGGTTTCCGATATCTGAGCAGTGTGCAATGTCTGCTATTCTTTAAGGTATTAAAATATTTAGGTTAAAGTTAAGTGTGTTCATATGATGTCTCAGGTAAAAAAAAAATCACATGGTAAGTTTTTAGTGTATTGGCTTCAGTCATTTTTATTTATAATTGAAGATGATATTGAAAATGAAGTTGAAAAATATTACCTAGCTAATTCCGTTACTGATATAACTACTGTTGTAGGTTTGGAATCATACTTGAAAAGATTAAAACTGTCATTAATGATGATACAAGATACACAAAAGGATGCCTGAATATGAGGACCCAGAAGTGCTACGCAGTCAGGCCAAACATCAATGAATTCCTTGATATAGCTCGTAGAACATACACAGAGATTGTAGATGACATAGCAGGTATTTCATGATTGATCACTAATAGAAATATATTGCACCTGTTATATAGAACCATAAAATTGTACAAGAATATATATAGTGCTAACTTTCTAATGAAGAGAAGGCAAGTATTTTTATTGTAATTTGATTTTGTCATTGATAAAAAAAAAGTTGAGGTACATTTGAAATTAGGGTTGCCATACGTCTCGGTTTTCCCAGACACAACCTCTTTTTGGTCCTCCGATCTCTGTCCTGGCAGATTTTTGAAATATGAACAAATGTCCATGATATTTCCTTTCTTGTCCTATTTCAGGACATTTTGAGGACATTACACTTGTTATTTATAAATGTTAGATATTCAAAGATATTCAAAGTAGAAAGAAACTGTACTCCCCTCCCCCTCCAGCTCTCCCTTTCCCCTTGCAGTGTCCTCTATTTGGGAACTTAAAATATGGTAACCCTATTTGAAATGTACATTGAGGTTTTCCATTTGTAGATAAAAACTGTAATTAAAATGAAATGATGAATAATTATTTTGTGATTTTAAAAAGTAAAAAGATTGCTTCATTTATTCTGCCACAAAAAAACAAGCTGTATATGAATCAAACATATTGTAATCTTTCCATTTAAAACCTATGGTTTGCACCTACAATGCAGTGCATCTAAATTCAGTTTGAAGTGTTGAAACAATATTATTTCAAATAAAATTTTCTGGTACAAAAAATTTAGTTTTATCATCTGCTGACACATTACAAACACAAATACTTTGTTTTTAATATTTTAACTAGTTTGAGTCGTGAGCTATGATTTAACTGTGTGCTATTAAGAATTGTGTAAAACCACTTTCTTGATATTATTTTAAAGCCAAAATGAATAAAATCAATGTTGGAAGAATGCCTCTATTATTTGAGTGTAACTGTTTTAGATAAAGTGTCTAAAGTTGATGAAAATAATTGTCTTTTTCCGAATGGCTCCTATCACGTTTCTGAGCAGACAAGATTGTTCTTTTAGGCCTGGTCTACACTAGGCGTTTATGTCAAATTTAGCGCCGTTACATCGAATAAACCCTGCACCCGTCCACACCACGAAGCTATTTAGTTCGACATAGAGGTCTCTTAAATTCGAGTTCTGTACTCCTCCCCAACGAAGGGAGTAGCGCTAAATTCGACATGGCCATATCGAATTAGGGTAGGTGTGGATGGAAATCGACGCTAATAGCTCTGGGAGCTATCCCACAGTGCACCACTCTGTTGACGCTCTGGACAGCAGTCTGAGCTCGGATGCTCTGACCAGCCACACAGGAAAAGCCCCGGGAAAATTTGAATTCCTTTTCCTGTCTGGGCAGTTTGAATCTCATTTCCTGTTTGGACATCGTGGCGAGCTCAGCAGCACTGGCAACGATGCAGAGCGCTCCAGCAGAGATGGCAGTGCAATCTCAGACTAGAAAGAGGGCCCCAGCATGGACTGATTGGGAAGTCTTGGATCTCATCGCTGTGTGGGGAGATGAGTCCGTGCTTTCCGAGCTGCGCTCCAAAAGACGGAATGCAAAGATCTATGAGAAGATCTCTAAAGCCATGGCAGAGAGAGGATACAGCCGGGATGCAACGCAGTGCCGCGTGAAAATCAAGGAGCTGAGACAAGGCTACCAGAAGACCAAAGAGGCAAACGGACGCTCTGGAGCCCAGCCCCAGACATCCCGTTTCTACGAGGCACTGCATTCCATCCTAGGTGCGGCCGCCACCACTACCCCACCAGTGACCGTGGACTCTGAGGATGGGATATTGTCCACTGCCGGTTCCTCGGACATGTTAGCGGACGGGGAAGATGAGGAAAGAGATGAGGAGGACGAGGCAGTCGACAGCGCTTGCAACGCTGATTTCCCCGACAGCCAGGATCTCTTCATCACCCTCACAGAGATCCCCTACCAACCGTCCCCAGCCGTTAACCCGGACACAGAATCAGGGGAAGGATCATCCAGTAAGTGTTTTAAACATGTAAACATTTATTTTTAACAGAACAGGAATATTAAGAATATTAACAATGGGTTGTTCATGATTACTTTGCCCTAGGCGCTTAACGTTTCAGTCCCGGGCAGTGCAACTATTAAAAAAAAAACTAACAATGTCCGTTTTTGCATGATTGTTCTGCCCAAGCCGCTCTACTGTTTAGTCCCTGCCAGTGCAGCTACAGTAAAATGCGGTCTACATGTCCGGGGATAGAGCAGAAATCCTCCTGGGACATCTCGACGAAGCTCTCCTGGAGGTAATTGGAAAGCCTTTGCATCAGGTTCCTGGGGAGAGCGGCCTTATTGGGTCCTCCGTGGTATGAAACGTTTCCGCACCAGGAGACAATCAAGTACTCCGGGATCATTGTCCTACAGAGCATGGCGGCATACGGCCCTGGTCTTTGCAGGCTTTCCCGGAGCATTCTTTCTTTATCACTGTCTGAGATACTCATCAGGGTGATGTCGCTCATGGTGACCTGCTTTGAATTAGGTAGGGGAATGTTAGTATTGGGACTGCTTGCCCGTTCCTTTACAGAACTGTAACCGCCGGTTTACAGCCACGCGGTGGAGGTGGGAGAGGGGCGGCATACAGGGATCTTTCCCTGGGACAGCCGCGAGGGGGTGGGACAGGGGCAGAGTTCATGTTTGCCGGATTGCTGGCAGCAGGGACTGGCGTTGCTTTCAATGTGAAAGGAGGCCAGTGCTACTATTAAAGTTTTAAGCAGCCACAAGTCTACGGCTTACCATGTCTGCCTGCTACACAAATTCCGGTGTCCTGCCCCGCTTCTCAGATCGGCAGTGCAAGACCCCAGGCACTGAATGCGAGGGCCGAAAATTCGACTTTGTCCTGAGTGCGCATGTGATAGGTGCTGTGCATGGTCTTGTTCACAGAGAAAGACTATGTTCTTTGTTCACAACTACATTTATCTTTCTGAGGAATTCACTCCCTTTTTCCCATTCCCACAGCCACATCTGCGACTGTCTCCCAACCCAGCCTGGCATCACACTCCCAGAGGCTAGCGCAGATTAGGTGGAGGAAGTAGAGGACGCGGGAGGACATGTTCTCGCAACTAATGGGCTGCTCCCGAGCCCAGGCAGCACAGCAGACCCAGTGGAGGGAGAACTTGTCCCAAATGCACCGGTCACACATGGAACGGGAGGAGAGGTGGCGGCAGGAAGACCAGCAGGCGACTCAAACGCTGCTTGGACTAATGAGGGAGCAAACGGACACGCTCCGGCGCCTTGTGGATGTTCTGCAGGAACGGAGGCAGGAGGACAGAGCCCCACTGCAGTCTATCAGTAACTGCCCTCCCCCGCCACCAAGTCCCATACCCCCCTCACCCAAAGTCCAAAGAAGGAGGGGTGGCAGAGTCCGTGAAAACTCTCACTCCACCCCTGCAGACTGCTCAAGCACCAGAAGGCTCTCATTCCCCAAAATTTGAAAAGTCCTTTCCTTCCCGCCTCACCCAAGCCCCTGTCCAAGTTTCACCCTCCAGTTTCATGTGTGGTTGTTAATAAAAAATACGTTTCTGTTCATTACTGTTTCCATCATGTTCTTTAGAGGAGAGTCTGTCTGAAGGGGGGGAAAGGGGTTGGTAATTGGACAGGACAGCAGCAGGGCACACACACAGTGCAGTCACTAGTTACCCTGGTCAGTCTGGGAGGTGGTTTTCATGTTCTGTGGGGGGGGGGGTTGCTCTGTGACTTTGTGGCGGGGGAGGGCAGTTACAGATCTTATGCAGCGGTCCTTATCCTGGATCACAGAGCCACGCAGCAGGGGATCTGTAACCCTCCTCCCCCTGCCACAAAGTCACATAGCCACCACATACACGCAGTCCCCATCAGGAGGGCTGGCAGGCTCCGTTGAAACAACCAGTCCACCACTGCGGAGCCTGTCATTCCTGCAGTTTAGAAGCATCATTTGCATCAGTACACTACACCCGCTCCCCACCACAGTCTGCGTCCCAGGTTTAAAACATTCCCGCGAAAACAGTAATAAAGAAAACGGTGGCCATTAACAAAATAGAAGTCATTTTATTTTTAAACGTGTGTTGGAAGGGGGGGAACGGGGTAAACGGGGTATGTAACTGGAGAGGATAGTGAACATTCACTGGGTAAAGAAACGGGGCCAGGTTCAGCTTCTCTGTAAACAAACTTAAAAGTCACAGGTTACCCTGCTCACTCAGGAACCTAGCTTTCAGAGCCTCCCGGATGCACAGCGCGTCCCGCTGGGCTCTTCTAATTGTCTGGCTGGGCGTAATCAGAAGCCAGGCTATTTGCCTCAACCTCCCACCCCGCCATAAAGGTCTCCCCCTTGCTCTCACAGAGATTGTGGAGCACACAGCAAGCTGCTATAACAATGGGGATATTGGTTTCGCTGAGATCACAGCGAGTCAGTAAGCTTCTCCATCTCCCCTTGAGACGGCCAAAAGCACACTCCACCACCATTCTGCACTTGCTCAGCCGGTAGTTGAAGAGTTCTTTTTCAGTGTCCAGAGCGCCAGTATAGGGCTTCATGAGCCAGGGCATTAGCGGGTAGGCTGGGTCCCCGAGGATCACTGTAGGCATCTCCACATCCCCAAGAGTTATTTTGTGGTCCGGAAAGTAAATACCTTCCTGCAGCCGTCTAAACAGACCAGAGTTCCTGAAAACGCGAGCGTCATGAACTTTGCCCGGCCATCCGACGTTTATGTTTGTAAAACGTCCCCGATGGTCCACCAGTGCTTGCAGCACCTTTGAAAAGTAGCCCTTTCTGTTAATGTACTGGCTGGCCTGGTGGTTCGGTCCCAGGATAGGGATGTGAGTTCCATCTATAGCCCCACCGCAGTTTGGGAATCCCATCGCGGCGAAGCCATCTATGATGGCCTGCGCGTTTCCCAGGGTCACTACCTTTGAGAGCAGTACCTCAACGATTGCGTTGGCTACTTGCATGACAACAACCCCCACGGTAGATTTGCCCACGCCAAAGTGGTTCGCGACTGACCGGTAGCTGTCTGGTGTTGCAAGCTTCCAGAGGGCTATGGCCACTCGCTTCTGGACAGTCAGGGCTGCTCGCATCCGGGTGTCATTGCGCTTCAGGGCAGGGGACAGCAACTCACAAAGTTCAAAGAAAGTCCCCTTCCGCATGCGAAAGTTTCGCAGCCACTGGGATTCATCCCAGACCTGCAGCACTATGCGGTCCCACCAGTCCGTGCTTGTTTCCCGGGCCCAGAATCGCCGTTCCACAACATCCACATGACCCATTGTCACCGTGATGTCCTCGGCGCTGGGTCCCGTGCTTTCTGACAGGCCTGTGCTACTCTCAGACTTCAGGCCCTCACCGCGGTGCCGTAGCCTCCTCGCCCGATTTATCTGCATCTGCCTCTGGGAAAGGTGGATGATAAGCTGCGAGGCGTTGACAACGGACACAACTGCAGCGATGGTCGCAGCGGGCTCCATGCTCGCAGTGCTGTGGCGTCCGCGCTGTCACTGACCAGAAAAGTGCGCGAACTGATTTCCCGCCGGCGCTTTCAGGGAGGGAGGGCGGTAGTGACGGACGGATGACGACAGTTACCCAAAAGCACCCTCGACACATTTTTTTTACCCAGAAGGCATTGGCGGCTCGACCCAGAATTCCAATGGGCAGCGGGGACTGCGGGAACTGTGGGATAGCTGCCCACAGTGCACCGCTTCCAATGTCGACGCTTTCCCCGTTAGTGTGGACTCACAAAGTCGAATTACTGTCCTTAGTGTGGACACACACGTTAGACTTTGCAATATCGATTCCACATATTCGATTTAAGTGAAATCGAACTACTCTCGTAGTGTAGACATACCCTTAGTTCACACTTTAACAGGCAAGAATGACAAATAGCACACATGAATAGTAGAATTTTTAACACCAATAATATACTATAGATTGTCTTGAGGTTCCTGTTAGCTTTGTAGCTTACAGTTGACATCACACAGAGTGAACATCACAAGAATTTAGTTGTTCCCTTGCTTTCCAAAATTTTCCTTACATGGCTGCTAAGACCCAGAGAAATGTAGGCAGGGAGGAGCTCTTTCTCCCTCCTGATGATTAGTGCAGTCCAGTTTCACTGCAGCCCACATGTTTACAGCGGAAGAGCTCCTTTTCCTGTTACCATGCTAAGCATTGAGGAAGCAAATGCTGACACACTGGAGCACTGAGTGACGCCAGGACCCAGAAAGAACAGGAGTACTTGTGACACCTTAGAGACTAACAAATTTATTTGAGCATAAGCTTTCGTGGATTCTATGCATCCGAAGAAGTGGGATGTAGCCCACGAAAGCTTATGCTCAAATAAATTTGTTAGTCTCTAAGATGCCACAAGTACTCCTGTTCTTTTTGCGGATACAGACTAACACAGCTGCTACTCTGAATCCAGGACCCAGGTGTCCAACACAGCCCATCTTCTCTACCCAACCATTTGCTGGCCTGTGTCTCTGGTGGTAGCAACAGTGGGAGGTTGAGCCAGCTCAGTGAGGAGTGTGAATGCCAGGGAAACCTTGTTCAACAGCATCCTTCTTTTCTCCCCACACAGTAGTACAACATCAGTATTTTTCCTCATCCACCCAGGCACCCACACATGCCTGTACCCCACTCAGCAAAATTCAGAATTCCTACCATTTAGCAGCACCTTTCCTCCTGCCACCTAATAGTCCCCTGCATCTATCACCCTCCCAGGTGGGTGGGTTGGGGTTAGGATTTAGAAATGCAAAGGATTCTGAACTATGGAGTGAGTAGGAAAAGATCGACAGCCCCAGATCTAAGCATTACAGTTACCTGTTGAGAAAGCAGCGTGGAAACACCACTGGCATGAAAGTGGATTCATCTGAAGCTTACTTCTCTGAGAAATCTTCCTTTCTAGCAGAAGGACAACCCACCCCTGAGATCCCCATGACAACATATGAATATCTTTAAAAAGAACCTATGAATTCTCCTATTCTTACCTGGCACCTTTTGTCCACTAGTTTTATAAAGCTAATGCTCTTATTTGAATGGTTTACTAAGCTCTTTCACCTCCACACAAGCCCCCTTTCAAGGTCCTAACAAGGCTGTCTAATTTACTGGAATTGGTATCTAGATATCTGCATGATGAATTTCCTACTCAGATAACACAGTGAGTTTTATAGTATGTTAGAAAATATTTAAATTATGGCTGATTTTTTCCCCATCTTACTTAGGAATGATAACACAGCTTGGAGAAAAATACAACCTACCTTTGAAGATGAGTTTCAGCTCTGCTCGTGGATTTTTTATCCAAATGAATGCAGAATGTGCAGCATTACCTAATGGTCAGCTTCCTTCAGAATTTACAAAGGTATGTGTTCTGGACATGTTTTGTCATGCAATTAATGACTTCAGTGATATTACATAATAAATGAGGATAGAATTTATTTAACCCATATTCTTTTATACAGTGTGTTAAATGTCTAAATGTGGTATATTATTTGTGAGATGATATGATATGTTCTAAGGTTTCTATCATTCTGATATTTGCATTTTGTTTTCTTGTTTTTTCATGCTGTTTTATTTAGGAAAAGTGAAATAAGGTAACAGTTTTGTCACTTGCTTTCCAGATTGTTCCTACTTTGTTTTCTGGAAATCTTTCTTTATGTGCGTTTATTTGACATGTATTACTTAAAGTTTGAATTTCCCTACAGATCACTAAAATGAAAAATGCATATAGCTTTACTTCAGCAGACTTAATTAAAATGAATGAAAGATGCCAGGAATCTTTGAGAGAAATTTATCACATGACCTACTTGTAAGAACATTTCAAACTCTTTAATATTTGTGTTAACTTGATTTATTTGCCATATTAACAACTAGTTGTGAGGTTTTCTAATATATTTTCATTATTAAATTATGGTGTATTGTAAAAGCACTCCAGATTGTAGAGAGAGAGTGTTCTTCACGAGAGAGCACATTAAAAGGCTAAATCTACATTATTCTGAATTATGATTAAAATGTATAGGGATTTATTCATAAAAAAGAAGAGTATCCATCACATTTATTAAACTTTTTGTAGAGTATTATCAACACAAAATGACACAATGAGTATAGCAATTTGGCAATGTGTAGCCATTATTTATATTAAGTATGCCTTTCATTTTAAGTAGAATTACCTTCAGTTTTTCCATAAATTATGCTTATAAAGGGACCCAAGGGCATATATAGTTCTCTTTTCTTCTAGATCACAAAAGCTAACATAGGCTATTTTTGGCTACATCTTCTTCTGGAGATCATGTGAACCCATTTTAAACATGAAGGACTCAAGAAACTGAAGAGTCGCACTTTTTGGAGGACAAAAGAACACCATTGGTTCCAAAGCTGTATTTTTTAGAGTCAATTTTGCACATGCAGCTCCCTTTCAAGCAGTGGGAGTTGCATTTGCACATCTGATGGCAGAATTTGGCCTAGAAGTTGTTCCCCAATAACTTACTATGCTTTTTAGAAATTCACACAATTGCCCATGTTTACAAATCTCTATGGCATTTATGTAATGCCTGTCATCCTAGTATCTAAGTACCATATTGACATTATGAACTTAATAATTGTTTTATTGCTGTAAACTGTATAAAGCAATAAAATATAGTAGTGTACAGTAACTAATTCAGAGCTGTCTGCTTGCAGGATAGTGTGTAAACTATTGAGTGAAATCTATGAACATATCCATTGCCTATACAAACTCTCTGACACTGTGTCAATGTTGGATATGTTGCTGTCATTTGCCCATGCCTGCACTCTTTCTGACTATGGTAAGTTTCTTTCTAAGAGATGGTAAATATAAATTAAAATGCTGGTAAAGCTACTCCCCTGTCCCCCAGTATTTATATAATAGTACCAGGTCTAGTTTGTGGCTCTTGTATTTATCTCTTCATATATTAGTCATCTATCGAACTAAAATTGGATTTCAGTTCAGTGTATGAATTACTTTTATAGCTTCATTTTTCCTATTTTTCTTTCCCCTTTTATTCATGTATTCCCCCACTTGCTTCTGAACACAATCTTGGCATGTTATTTGAGGATGGAGGGCTAAGATGTTATTTTTCTATAATAGATCATGAGGACTTGTATAAAAGATGTAATCTCTACCTGAAAACAGCCCATTAATTCCTCCAAGTATACTGTCTTTGCTGATTTGATAGCTATAGGTCAGGTCTTCTACATGGGAATATCCTTTCTGATTCTTCCACTCTTGCTCATGTTGAATAATCCCTTCTTTGTGAATAGTTCTTGTCATGGGGTGACTGGCCTTTTAGAGAGAATTAGGGACAGTCTACCCATGACTAAGGTTGGTAAGCCAGCCTTGGTGGCTAATTGGTGGACTGGGAGCTAATCGATTGCCCAGGTGGCTGATTACTGCTCAATTAGGGGAGCACCTGACTTTAATAAAATTACCAGAACTCAGTATGGAGAGGAGGTCAGCAAGGAGCAGTGTCGGGGGAAAAAGACTCCTGATGACAGGAGACAGCAGGCAATAGAAAAGGGGGAGGGTGCCCACTCTGTCTTGGGATAGACAAATGATACCTGAACCTCAGTTCCAGGGAGAAGAACTGGATCATATCTTTATGCTATGTTAGCTAAAGCACTGACAAGAGTTCTACCCAAGCTCCAGTGAGAACTGGGAAGGTGAAGGTGGTACCTCCAGCTCTGGGAGGAGGATGGAGGGTTATTTTATGTAAACAGCAGAAAGACTGTTCTGAACAGTACTCCAGCTCCAGGGAGGAGGACTAGGAGCCTCATGATGAAGGCAAAATACAAAACTATTATAAGAGGGGTCTCCCAAATCTGGAGCTAGTAGTAGGATTAAAGGCTCGAGTGGAAGGTCTTTCCCTGTTTGGGATATTTGTTTCTGTTAATTAAAGGGAAATGCTTTAAGGCAAGCTTGTTTTGACTTATTTTGTAGATACAGGTTGGGGGAAATGGAGGCAGCACCTTGTAGTGCTATGCCTGGCAGAGGAGTGAAGCCCCCAACTCAAGTAGCAAGACATTATTCAACAAGAGGAAGAGTAACAGACTCAGAGCTCTGCTCTGCATGAGTGATTCTTATTTTATTTAAAAATGTAACTTTTTAATAATTGTCGTAGGTTTTTTTGTAGTTAGTGCTTAACATTGCTTATAATTTTTTCTTGGTTTAGTTCGTCCAGAATTTACTGATACATTAGCAATCAAGCAGGGATGGCATCCCATTCTTGAAAAGATATCTGTGGAAAAACCTGTTTCTAATAACACGTATATCACAGAAGGCAGCAATTTTATCATTATTACAGGACCAAATATGAGTGGAAAATCAACTTACCTGAAACAGATTGCTCTCTGTCAAATTATGGCACAGATTGGTGAGCAACAGTATTCTTTTGCACTACTCAAATTGTTTTCTACTGAAAATATCATTATTTACTAAGTGGAAAAATGTGTTTCTAAAAATAAGATGAGATTTTATGTGTATTACACAAGGCCAGTTTTTAGCTATAGTGTTACTACCAGTGATAACATAAGATAATTTGTACTTTTATTTTATTTTGCAGGTTCTTACGTCCCAGCAGAATATTCTTCTTTTAGAATTGCTGAGCAAATTTTCACTAGAATTGGTATGGATGATGATATAGAAACAAATTCATCAACATTCATGAAGGAAATGAAAGAGGTACAAGTTTAATTATTTTAGTATGAGGGGCCCTAATTAACATTAAGCTGGTACAGTTTACATTGGTTTATGGATTATATTTCATTGGCACTGAAGCACTTTTATTTTAGACAAGCACATGTCAAGGATAGTGTAGGAGTACTTGGTCCTGCCTCAGCACAGGGGGCTGGACTAGGTGACCTCTCAAGGTCCCTTCCAGCCCTACATTTCTATGATTCTGTGTACAAACAAAGCAGTCAAAGACAACTTGGCTTCTATATCTCTCTTCCATATTGAATGTCATGAGGAGAGAAGCATCTTTTAGAAAGGTAGGTCCCAGGCCATTTAGGGATTTACAGGTCAAAACCAGCATCAGAAAATCAACTCAGGAACTAATAGGCTGCCACTATCAAGCACAGAACTTAACACAGTCTGACATGTTATGTGAATCACAGTCTTAATGTGATTATGGGTAAAACAAACCTTTACTTAACAAGTGAATTTTGCATCAGCTTCAGTTTCCACATGAATTTAAGATGCATCCCTTCATTACAATAGTCTAGTCTTGAGGTGATACATCTGAAAGAAATGTTAATTACTGGATGGCTGTTTGTAGAGTGAAAGAAAGCTGTCTGGATGTTGCTGCTATATGATCCATTAGTTACTGCTCAGAGACTAACCAGAGGCAGGTGATGACAACCTTTTACCATGTGGTCTCCATTGTTACGTGCTAAAGCACAACCGATATTGTCAAATCGGCATCCGAACATCACCCAGTGAAGTCCCGGATTGAACAGCAATGGAAATAGTTACTCTCCAAAAAGTGACTCCATCCAGAGCCACTTAAGAGAATTGTAGACCCAGCTCTAAGAATTTGCCAATTGAATGTTGAAGGTATTTACCAGCCTAGAAGCAACCAGCTAACTCATGTTACATGAGACAACATGATTAACATTATTGCCCTGCAAGAAACTCAAGAACCACGCTGCCATATTGCTGACTACAATCTCATCACCTACCTCCATCACCCAAAACACAGCCATGGTACGTGCATCAAGCACAGCATTGAGGATTATGACCTGATAGTTGCTAGGAGCAACTCTGGAACCTTGACCATCTCAGTAAGAATCATCAAGATAAGAGTGTTTAATGTATATAAACCACTGAATACAGACTTGTCTTCTCCCCCATTACCCACAGTCTATTGCCTGGCTTATATATATGTAATTGATTTCAGTTGCCACCACACAATGTATTAACGATATTGTGGATGAGGCACTTGTGGAATTGTCATCAAATGAAGACACATACCTTCTTTTCTATGCAAAAGACAGAGGCACTTTTCATTCTGCCCCCTGGAAAGGATACCGCAATCCAGATCTCTGTTTCATCACCGAAGACCAGTTGAAATCCCTCAGAATATGTCTAGCATTACTTTTGCTACTTCCTACACAGCTAGCATCGACTGGTGTTAATCCACATTGCCAGTAGTCATGTCATTGCCCAAATGGCAATAGAAGTTTCAAAGGGAAACTGGCCAGGATTCATTGCAACAATTGAGGCCACCATTGACGCAATTCCACTAAAGCCTGGAAATTTTGGTCGTTTCAGCAAACTTATCCAAATAGCTGCAAGAAAAAACATCTCTCGCAGCAATCAGAATCGATATACTCCATACGAAACCAGAAACAAAAGGCTATTAAAGAAGAACCAAATAAATACTGCAACATGCCTGCTGAAGTCACTGAATCTAGCGTGCCATCAAAGATGACTCAAGACAGTTGAAGGTCAGGATTTCACTTACTCCAGCCACAAAGCTTGGCTAATTTTGCATCAGCTTGGGGCGGCAAACCCAGGGGAACATCAAAAGCTGGTCCAATTGCAGAAACGCTTCTTATGAACTCAAAAGTACTAGGGGACAAATCAACTAAGCATAAAGTGTGCAGAGAGCTCTGACACATAGTCAGCTCACTACCTATCCCCAATCCCCGTATCATTTCCCTTCACCAAGGAGGAGGTGAATAACCTTGGAAGAATATTTCTTATATTGACAGCCAAACCAAAGCCCACTAAAGGTATGTCTACATTGCATATTCCTTTAAACGGTATATAGCATACATACACTACATGCCCTCCTCCCCCCAGCACAGGTTTAAATAGCAGTATAGACGGTGAGGTATTGTTTAGGTGAGTATAGTAAAGACATGCCTGAACCTTGTGGGTATGTACCCTACATGGCTCTCTACTCATCCAAGCAGTGACTCCCCCATCTACACTGCTATTTTTAGCAGTGTAATGTCCTGCAACTGGCTCCCCACTGCTGGAGTTTTTCCAGTTGCAGAGAAAGACTCCAGCAGCGGGAAAAGGTTCTGGCAGCTCCCCACTGCTGGAGCATTTCTCTGCCACAGGAGCTGCTGGAGCCTTTGCCCCCCATTTAAGACTCCAGCACCAGAGAGCTACACCTACTAAACATGTGGTATGCAGTGTAGACATAGCCTAAAACTGTGGTGTCAGCATATCATCTAAACAATCGAAAAACTAGGGCAGAGCTGCACATGGACTTCTGTGACTAGAAGATAAGACTGCAAAATGTCTTGATGTGATGTTAGACCAAAGCCTCACATTCCACTAGCAGAGGGGCGGGCAAACTTTTTGGCCTGAGGGCCGCATCGGGTTTCGGAAATTGTCTGGAGGGCCAGTTAGGGGAGGCTGTGCCTCCCCAAACAGCCATGCGTGGCCCGGCCCCTGCCCCCTATCCACCCCCCCCCCCCGCTTCTCACCCCCTGATGCCCCCCCGGACTCCTGCCCTATCCAACCCCCCCTGTTCCCTGACGGCCCCCCCGGGACCCCTGCACCATCCACTCCCTGTCCCCTGACCACCCCAGAACCCCCGCCCCTGACTGCCCCCCGCCACGCCATCCAACCCCTCCTCTCATTCCTGACTGCCCCCCCAGGACCCCCGCCCTATCCAACCACCCCTTCTCCCTTTCCCTTGACCGCCCCCAGAACTCCTGCCCCTGACTGCCCCCCACCGCCCATCCAACCCACCTCCTCCTTCCTGACTGCCCCCCCCGGGACTCCTGCCCCCATTAAACACCTGTGGTCCCTGCCCCCTGACCGCCCCGACCCCTATCCACACCCCTGCCCCCTGACCACCACCCCAAACTCCTCTGCCCTCTATTCAACCCCCCCTGCTCCCTGCCCCTTTACCGGTGCTCCAGCCGCGCCACCCAGAGCACCAGGACAGGCTGGAGCCAGCCACACTACCGCGCAGCACAGAGCACCGGGTCAGGCCATGGCTCTGCAGCTGCGCTGCCCCAGGAGTTGCAGCCCCGCCGCCCAGAGCATTGCGCCGGCGGTGGAGCAAGCTGAGGCTGCGGGGGAGGGGGAACAGCAGGGGAGGGGCCCGGGGCTAGCCCCCCAGGGCAGGAGCTCAGGGGCCGGGCAGGAGGGTCTCGCGGGCCGGATGTGGCCCATGGGCTGTAGTTTGCCCACCTCTGCACTAGCACCTGAAAAATATCTATGACAAAATAAAGATGTGTGTAAACCCCATCCATAAGCTGTCAGCAACAACCTGGGGAGCCGATGCAAAAAGTCTACAAACCTCTTCACTAGCCTTTGTCTACTCTGCCACAGAATACTGCTGACCCATCTAGACGCATCATTTGTCAATTCTCAGCTAAACACCATCATGCATGTCATTACAGGCACAGTAAAATCAATGCCACAACCATGGCTTCCCATACTGGCACACATCAGCCCACTCCAAATTCATTGCTACATGAGGGAAGAAGGATTTTCCGATATATGAATATCTAAATAATATATCAAGATTCCAACTCAAATCCAGAAAGCTTTTTTGGCTTGCAGTGCAAGAGTTCGAAGACTTGGTGTTCTCCCACAAAGTCAATGGCGAGCAAAGTGAAAGGACACCAGTGTTCCATACAAACACCTCATCAAGGACTCAACTGAACAACCCACTGGCTTTTCACTCACATGAAAATATGCTACACTTTGAACTGAATGTGCACATCACATGGCAGATTTGCCTCTGTCCTCCATGAATGGAGACTGATACACAATTCTATTTGTGAGTGCAGAAACAGACTTCAAGCTATGAAACACCTTATCAACTAGTGTCCCAAATAATCATATATCAGTGGTATTTCTTCCATCTACTCTGCGTCACCTGAAGCAATCAATTTGATTGCCAACTTAGATCTGGACATCTAACGATGCTGTTTTTAAGCCATATGAAAAGAAGAAGAGTTTAACCAGACCTCCATATTGCAAACAGGTATTAGTAACTAGGACAACTGGACTTCTCAGGAAGCAGGGCAGAAAAATAATACCAGTAAGTTATTTTTTAAAACTTTTCTAAAATAGGCCTGCTATAAAATAAGGTACAAAAACCCACAACCATCCTTTTCTCTACCTGTTGCTCCTCTCTATAACACCCTTCAAACTTTCTATCTTGCCTTCCATCTTCTCTTTTTTTCTTCAAGATTTTCAATGTGAGTTATGGACTTTAAGACCTGCTCCCCAACCAGCAAGCTGGAGATGAGCAGGAAGTTTTAAGAATTATTCATAATAGCTTTTCTAAAAATCATGTCACAGTTTTAAGTCCAATATCTCTGAAACCATTCCAACAGGAGTAGAAATCACTGTTCCATTGGACATTAGTCTTGATGTTTCATTAGGTATTGTACCTTAAATTATTGTTGGGCCATATCTGACTGTTGCTAGTATTCCACCTGAGACCTCATTTTGAGGAAAAATTACATATTTAGAGAGAAAGAGGCAAACAGTTTTGTGGCAGGATGTTTTGTTTGTTTTAAAATGTCAGCTGTTTGGAAGCTGCTCAGAGGTGAAAGCCATGGATCTTCTGAAGGATTCTGTTCTTTACTCACTTTACCAGTGGACTTTTTGTTGGTTTGTTTGGTTTTTTGGGGTGGGAGGGATTTAAAAATGTACTGCTAGAGATAACAAAGTATTTTTTTTCTTAGATAACATATATCATGCAAAATGCTAATGACAAATCACTCATCATAATTGATGAACTTGGCAGAGGTACCAGTACTGAAGAAGGTATTGGCATTTGTTATTCAGTGTGTGAATATCTACTGAGTTTGAAGGTATTTTTTATATTTTTTAATCATTAGTCTCTAAAATTTGTAATTGTTTTCTCACGCAGCCTTAAAATGGTACCAAATAAAAACATTTTCTCATACTCCAGTCTTCATTTTATGGACAATTCTGATCTAAATAATACGGATACACTTACTGGGATTTATGGATAGAAAAGAGATTGATCAATAGATAAGAATAAGGACAAAGATGCCATACTTCCTGCCCTTCTAGTCCTTGTCCTATCCTTACCCCATCCCATTCCAACCACACGATCATCCCTTGAACACACTCCTTCTAACCCTTGGCTCCATTCATGTTCCTTCTTGTTCTTTCCTTTGGCCAAGACTTTGCCTTGGCTTTTACAATTTGCAGTGACTATACCAAGAATGAGACTGACAACAATATCCCTAAAGTAGTTGTATGGTAATTCTATGAGAATTCTGCAGTATTTGGTTCATGAAATGAACCCTTCTGTTTGTCTTTCCGTGTTGAAAGCAAACTAACTAACCTCCTCAGTTTTGCTTGGAGATTAGAGTTTATATACCTAAATCTCCAAAGGGAGCTCCCAACTGGCTGCTCCCTTTCCAAAATATGTTGGGATCCTCCACCCCGCCCCCCACCCCCTTAACTTAAAGGTGCGTAGACAGAGTTCAGTGGCTTATCAAGAGAAGTAGAAATGGCCTTTAAGCGTGTAGGAAACTCTAATTACTTCCTAGCTATGTGATTAACTTCAGCATGTTGTCAAACTTTTGCAGACCTGGACATAGGCTGGACTCTTACCCGGGCTTATTTTGGAATACTTTTGCAGATTGGTTTGAAATGTTCAAATATTTCTCATAGTTTTAGCTGAAGGACAATATATAATATCAGAATGTTCAGGCAATTTTGTGAAAATTCTTGACAGTAATTTTGGTAAAATAGTATGAAAGTTAAGAAATTCTGTGTTAGTGGCTACATTTATATATTCCATTGGGAAAGGAATCAGATAATCCAGGTTGGGAAGATCTGTTGCGTCATCCAGTCCATCTCCCTGCCAGTAAAGGATTGTATCCTAAATTCATGTTACTGCTTATTCCCAGTCTAGTTTAAAATATGTCATGTATTGAGACTTCCATTGCTCCTCTTATGAGATTGTTCCATAGCCTAATAGATCTCTCATGTGTTTTTCTGATATACAGTCTAAATGGTCCATTTTTGATATGTCATTAGGTTGATTAAACTTACTATGTTCAGCAAACAATATCACTTAATTTAAAAATGAAAGGGCTCATTTAATATATTTTTGAAACTGCTTTAAAACTGCCTGTATTTGGAGCTTTCTTTACTATTTTGCTATAATCGTGCCCATGTTTATAGTACCAAAGAAATAGATCTCTTCATTCAATTTAATATTTTTTAGTAATTTCAGGGCATTTTTTCAAAGCAATGCATGCAGATTTAGCCATCAATTAAAGTCATATTGCTAAATCCCTGTACCCACTTTGAAAATATATATTTTAACCTTATTTTGCTTAATTATAATGAAATATGAAGGATTACTTAATATGTCATAATATTTCCCTTTCTGTTGCCTAATTTAGGCATTTACTCTATTCGCTACACATTTCCTGGAACTGTGTCACATAGATGCTTTATATCCCAATGTGGAAAACAACCATTTTGAAGTGCAACATGTGAAAAACAGTGCTGGAAATAAGGAAAAAATTACTTATACTTACATACTTTCGAAAGGACACACAGAGGAAAAAAACTATGGTAATGGACTTCAGTATTGATATTAATAACTTATTAAAAAGTACATAAGATATATTAAACTATTAGGGTCTAACATTCCTACTATCCACTGACATCACTCCATATTGTGAATAATTTTTTACGTAGTAACTGTTCTTCTTCGAGTGATTGCTCATGTGTATTCCACTATAGGTGTGCGTGCTTGCCACATGCATCGGTACCAGAAGTTTTTCCCTTAGCAGTAGCCGTAGTGGGGGAGCACCGCTGCGACCCCTGGAGTGGCGCCTGCATGCTCCCCCCACCCTCAGTTCCTTCTTGCCGCCAGTGAAGGTAGTCGGAACTTGCTCCAGCTCTGCTGCAGCGCTTCTAGCCTTAGTAGTACTCAGTTCACTGAACTTTTCCTTTTTGAACTTCTCTGCCTGGCTCGGGGCATGCCTCGTGGCCCAGGCTTCAAGTCCTGCGACTCTTGTCGCAATTCTATGCCCAGAAGCGATCCGCACGTTAAGTGTCTTCGCTGTCTGGGCAAGTCTCACGTTACTGAAAGGTGCAAAATCTGCCACTCCTTCAAGCCGCGTACGAAGAAGGAGCGTGAGATCCGACTCCGAGCGCTTTTAATGGAGTCGGCATTGGCCCCGGCACCGACGCATCGAGCCGGTACCGCGCCGGGCTCCGCGTCGTCAACACGCGGTGAAGTGCCTCCCGCGTGCCGCTCCGAATCGGCGCCCGGCACCGCGTCATCGGTATGCAGTGAGGCACCGTCGACGTCCTGGCACCGTTCCCCTGCTAAAAAGATGGGGAAATCGCTGAAGCACCGGGAGAAGAGTAAGGGGGAGGCTAGACCCGTGTTGGGCAGCCCGCGATCCCCACCGGGACAGAGACCTCCGACTCACACTGAGCGGAGTAGTCCAGTCCCGTCCGCACGAGCCTCTCCGGAGGTGTGCATGCCCTCGACACCAGAGGCAGCTCAGGCCGCGTGTGACATCCTGACGCTCCCGGTGCCCGCGGCGTCGCAGCAGTCGGCTCCCTGGTCCTATGGGAAGCCGTCTTTGTCTGCCCATCACCCTTCCATGGAGGACTCGGAAGTCGAGCCGCCTTCTCGGGTTGAGGCATCTACCAGACCCTCACAGCGCACGTCGACTCCGCAACCCGACCCCGCCATGAGCGTCTCCAACTCGTCTGGTCCCAACTGTCGTCATCCCGGTAGAAAGAGGCAACACCAGACCTCTTCGTACAGTGACTCCGACAGGAGCGGGTCGGGGAGCCGTCGGCACCGCCATTCCCGCTCCAAGGCCTGGCACCGCGGAGCGCACCGAGATCCCCCGGCACCCAGGCACCACGGCCACAGGCGCCGCGGTCGGTCCCGAGTCAGCTTCTCGGAGGTGTGTGTGTCATCCTCCTCCTCATCGAGGTCTCGGGGCAGGAGCCATCGTGATCGGGACCATTCCAGCTGTTCCCACGGCACCGTGCGTTCCTCCCGCACCTCGGTGTCGACACGCAGCCGCCTGTCCCGGAGCCGCGCCGCGCCACCAGACCAACCAGTGCCTCTGGCACCTGATGTGTCTCTGCTCCAGGCAGTTCCGTGGCAGGGTCAGTGGTGCCAGCTAGCGCCATGGCCTCAGGCACCGGCGCCCCCTGGTCCTCGCTCCTTGGTGGGTGCCTCGCAGGGCCACCTTCTGTCCCCTCGGTACCGTGACCAAGCCGTCGGTGCCGATCCCCTGATGCCGGCCCCGGTACCGGACCACGAAATAGAGCCCACGGTGCCGCTGGTCGTCGACGTTGCCATCCCTTCCACCTCCGTGGCGCAGGGCGACTTGGTGGCGGTGCCGCCTCCTCCATCTTCACAAGAGGACTTTAAGGCACACCAAGAGCTGCTTCAGAGGGTGGCAGCCAATCTCGAGCTCCGGGCCGAGGAGATGGAGGAGCCCTCCAACACACTTTTTAATGTCCTCACCTCCTTGGTCCCGGGGCGTGTAGCGCTCCCATTCCACCAAGGAGTTGCTAATATCACCGCTGGCCTCTGGCAAACCCCGGCCTCTCTTGCCCCTATTTCGAAGAAGGTCGAGAGGAAGTACTTCGTCCCTGCGAAGGGTCTCGAGTACCTCTACACCCATCCAGCCCCGAACTCACTGGTGGTAGAGTCTGTCCACCATCGCGAGAGAACTGGTCAGCAGGCGCCCACGCCCAAGGATAAGGACGCTCGTAGATTTGACTCATTTGGACGGAAGTCGTATTCGTCCACGTGTTTCCAGCTCAGGGTGGCCAACCATCAGGCACTCCTGAGCCGATACGAGTTCAACCTTTGGGGGTCTCTCCCCAGGTTCGAGACCTTCATCTCTGATCCCAAGCTAAAGGATTTCCGGGCGCTCGTCCAGGAAGGAACGACTGCGGCCAACGCGGCTCTACAGGCTGCTTCGGACGTGGCAGACATGGCCGCTCGCTCCTTGGCCACGGCTGTTTCCATGCAGCGCGCATCTTGGCTTACCCTCTCCGGCCTCTCGTCTGAGTCTCAGGCCATAATGCAGGACCTGCCATTTGATGGCAAGGCCCTTTTTGCCGACCAAACTGATACCCATCTGCATGAGATGAAGGACTCCTGCACTACCCTGCAGACGCTGGGCCTGTACGTCCCGCTGACAAAGGACAAGCCCAGGACTCAACCCCCCGCTCCGCAAGGTAGGGGTAGATATGAACCCCCGCCAAAGCGGCAAAGGGACCAGAGGCGTCGGTCACGCCGCCAATCCCGCTCGGCCCAGCAACCTGGGGCTTCGAAGGGCAAGCGCCCTGGGAAATGGCGTTTTTGACTTGTTGCGGGGGGTCACCGGGCCTGTTGCCAGTGTTCCCCCCACCCAGTTAATAAAGTTACCCTTTTTCAACCGTTTATCGGCTTTCCGACTCCAATGGTCCAGTATTACAATGGATCAATGGGTCCTCATTACCATCTCCCAGGGATACAGGCTGCAGTTCCTCTCAGCCCCTCCGGATTGCCCCCCGTCTGGGTACCAGACCGGGGACCCGGAGCATGCCCTCCTCCTCCGCCAGGAGGTAGAGCGCCTTCTCTTCCTGGGAGCGGTAGAAAGGGTACCTCGGGAATACCGGGACAAAGGGTTTTACTCCAGGTATTTCCTCATCCCCAAGGCAAAGGGCGGGCTCTGGCCCATCCTCGACCTGCGGAACCTCAACCAGTTTCTGGTGCGTTACAAATTCCGCATGGTTTCCCTGGCCTCTATAATTCCATGTCTAGACCAGGGGGATTGGTTTACGTCACTGGACCTTCAGCATGCGTACTTTCACATCCACATTTTCGAGGGTCACAGGTGCTTCCTTCGTTTCCTGGTGGGGCAGGACCACTACCAGTTTACGGTCCTCCCTTTTGGCCTCTCTACGGCCCCCAGGGTGTTTACGAAGTGTATGGCCGTGGTTGCAGCTCACCTCAGGAGGAAAGGGCCGCAGATCTTCCCCTACCTAGACGACTGGCTGCTCAAGGGCCGGTCCCGGTCTTTGGTGCAGCAGCAGACGAGCTTCCTCCTCGGCGCCTGCGGTGCGCTCGGCCTGCTGGTAAACGAGGAGAAATCCATGTTGGTCCCAGTTCAGCGCATAACCTTTATAGGCGTGCTGTTAGATTCCCGGACGGCCACGGCCTCCCTTCCGCGGGACAGGCTCGAGATGCTCGAAGCTCTCATCGCCTCGATCACGGCCTCTCCGGCAACTACGGCATGGGCGTGCCTTCAAATCCTGGGCCACATGGCAGCATGCACCTATGTGGTGCGACATGCCATGCTCCGAATGAGGCCCCTCCAGCTTTGGCTGGCCTCCCGGTACTCTCAGGCCAGCCAAAGGCTGGGCAAGGTTGTCACGGTACCACCCGCGGTGCTGGCGAACCTTCAATGGTGGACCTTCCCGAGCAACATGGGTATTCCTTTCCGAGAGCCTCCTCCCTCCCTCGATTTGGTGTCCGACGCCTCGGACCTGGGCTGGGGAGACCACATGGGGTTGTTCAGGACCCAGGGTATGTGGTCCCCCGAGGAACGGACCCTGCACATAAATGTCAGGGAGCTCAGGTCCGTATGCCTAGCGTGCGTGGCCTTCTGCCAGCACATACGCGGGAAGGTGGTCAGAATCCTCACGGACAACACAACTGCCATGTATTTCATCAACAAGCAGGGTGGCACAAGCTCCTGGGCACTATGCCAGGAAGCCCAGTTCCTGTGGGAGTTTTGTATAGCCCACAGCATACTCCTGCGGGCCTTCTACCTGCCCGGCAAGAGCAACACCCTCGCGGACCGCCTGAGCAGGGTATTCTCCCAGCAGCACGAGTGGTCCCTGCACAGGGAGGTAGCCAAGGGGATCTTCCTACAGTGGGGTGCTCCCCAGGTAGACTTGTTCGCCACCGCTCAGAACCGGCAGTGTCCCCGGTTTTGCTCCAGAGCAGGAGTGGGCGACGGAGCAGTATCAGATGCATTCTGCTTCCATGGTCGGGGCCCCTGTTGTACGCCTTCCCTCCCTTTCCCCTAATAGGCAGGGTCCTCCAGAAGGTGAAGTTAAACCGGGTAAGGGTTATCCTCATAGCCCCGTCAACACTGGTACGGGACCCTACTTCAACTTTCAACGGCCCCACCCCGCAGGCTCCCGCTCCGCCCCGATCTCCTCTCTCAAGACCAGGGTCGTCTCCTCCATCCCAACATAGCTGCGCTCCACCTGACAGCGTGGCTGCTCCGTGGCTAACCGAGGAGGAACACGTGCTCTGCGGGAGTGAGATCTGTCCTGCTAGAGAGTAGGAAACCTTCCATGCGTCGGGCCTACCTCGCTAAATTGTGTAGGTTCTCTTGGTGGGCGAGGAATAGAGGTTCCTCTCCCTCTTCCGCCTCTATCCACTTGGTTCTGGATTACCTCCTCTCCCTGCGGACCCAGGGGCTAGCCCCCTCTTCTATCAGGGTGCACCTGGCGGCCATCTCGGCCTTCCACCCTCCAGTGATGGGACAGTCGGTGTTCTCCCACCACATGACTTCCAGGTTTCTGCGGGGTTTGGATAGGGCGTTCCCTTATGCTAGACCCCCGGTCCCTCCCTGGGATCTGAACCTGGTATTGTCACGCCTCACAGGGCCTCCCTTTGAGCCTTTAGCCACCTGCTCATGGTCCCACCTCTCCTGGAAGGTGGCGTTCCTGGTGGCCATCACTTCAGCCCGCTGGATCTCCGAGCTTAGGGCTTTGACTTCTGAACTGCCGTATACGGTCTTCCATAAGGATAAGGTTCAGCTCCGCCCTCACCCTGCTTTTTTGCCAAAGGTGGTCTCGGCTTTTCACATGGATCAGGATATTTTCCTCCCGATCCTCTGCCCTAAGCCCCATTCCTCCTATGAGGAACGCCGCCTGCACATGTTAGACGTGCGCAGAGCGCTGGCCTTTTACCTGGAAAGAACCAGGCCATTTAGGAAGTCCCCCTAGCTTTTCATTGCTTCGGCCGAGCGCATGAGGGGGCAACCGGTGTCCATCCAGCGGATCTCCCGCTGGATCACCTCGTGCATTCGCACCTGTTATGACTTGGCAGGGGTTCCCCCACCTCCTATTGTGACGGCGCATTCGACGAGGTCCCAGTCCTCGTCTGCAGCCTTTCTGGCTCATGTCCCCATTCAGGACATCTGTAGGGCTGCTACGTGGTCCTCTGTCCATACTTTTGCATCGCACTATGCGATCGTCTCCCAATCAAGGGATGACGCCAGGTTTGGTAGGGCGGTGCTTCGCCCTGGTAACCCTTAAACCTTTACCTTTAAACTCCTACCCGCCTCCATCAGGGTTAGCTTGGAGTCACCTATAGTGGAATACACATGAGCAATCACTCAAAGAAGAAAGGACAGTTACCTGTTCTGTTACTGGCGTTCTTTGAGATGGGTTGCTCAGGTGTATTCCACATCCCACCCTCCTTCCCACTGGCGGAGTTGTCTGGCAAGAAGGAACTGAGGGTGGGGGGGAGCACGCAGCCCCCTTTATGGCGCGATATGTCGGCGCCACTCCAGGGGTCGCAGCGGTGCTCCACCACTACGGGTACTGCTAAGGGAAAAACTTCCGGTACTGATGCACGTGGCAAGCACGTACACCTATAGTGGAATACACCTGAGCAACACATCTCGAAGAACGCCAGTTACGGAACAGGTAACTGTCCTTTACAAGTTCAGCGGTGGCCTAGAAGAACTTCATCATGCCACTGAAGATGCCATTGCTTGGCTAGACAACTATGCACTTGCTAAATAAATAAACAGGTTAAAATACTGTTCCACTTATTTTTGTATTTTAAATAGTTGTGTAATAAGGTAGTTATTTTGTGTCCACAGTATGAAAAACTTAATTGTCTAATAAAATGATCTTTCTGCTCTCAGACTTCACCTGGCATCTTCAACTGGTTGAGAACACAGTGACCTGTGAACACAGTTTTTAAGGTCAGGCTTGACAAAGCCCTGGCTGGGATGATTTAGTTGGGAATTGGTCCTGCTTTGAGCAGGGGGTTAGACTAGATGACCTCCTGAGGTCCCTTCTAACCCTGATATTCTATGATTCTATGACCTGAGTTGGGTCACGCTGAGCACATAATAGCTGTACTGAGTGCTCTGCATTGGTTTCCTGTTTGATTATGGGAGCAATTCAAGGTGCTGTGAGATAGTCTTAAATGGATGCCTGCACATTCAAGACTTATCTGAGAGCTGCCTCTTTTGTATTTGCTCATATAGGATGATATAAAAAAGTTAACTAAAAGCTGTACCCATTTGGCTCATCCTAAATGAATGAAGTTTTATTAAAAATGACAAATTAATGTTCATAGATGTGTGCCTCAGTTTATTTATGCAGAGAGGTGCTTTTTATCCTTTGAAATGTCAAAACTGTGTTCTTGGGAAAGTGGGTTCATTTATCCTTTAAATTTAATATAAACTGTAGTGAAGCAGACTGTGTAACAGATTAAAACATTTTATTTGTGTCTCATTGTCATCCATTCATTTCTTTATAGACCCATAATCCTTCAGGGAGTGAAAAGAATCCACATAATGTTTCTGAGGGCTGGTCTACACTACCCCTTATGTTGATATAACTTATGTCACTCAGGGATGTAAAAAAGACACCCCCCCTGAGCGATGCAAGTTACATTGACCTAAGTGCTGGTGTGGGCAGCAGTACATCAGTGGGAGACGCTCTCCTGCCAACATAGTTACCACCTCTCACGGAGGTGGAGTAATTATGCTGATGGGAGAGCTCTCTCCTGTCAGCATAGTGTGTCTTTACCAGACACACTACAGTGGAGCAGCTGCATCAATGCAGCTGCGCTGATGTGGTGCTTCTAATGTAGACTAGGTATAAATGCTAGATTTTGTAGTTGGATCCCTGATTTAGCTGGTTTAATCAATAGGGAGTTGTCTCACAACACACAATTTTTACAAGTCTGAGATAGCTGAAGACTATAAATTATTCGAGTTAAAGTTAGAATTAATTTAATATAAAATGTTCCTTCTATGCCTTTATCAAAATTTCACTGCTAATTTGCCTCACATTGGTAACACAAGGCCAGTTTTGGGGATTTTTTACAAGATGAGTTCTGAAGAATTATACATAGATTTATAGGACTGGAAGAATTCATGTCCCCCGCAGATTTCTTTGCTTCCCCACAGAAAAATGACTTTCTGACAGGGAAGAGCAGTCACGCGCCACTCCCTAGCTGTGCAGGTACATTGTTTCAGGCACCCAGAGCAGCCGGCAGAGAGGTAAATCACCACAGGGCTGGGGACACCCCAGCCAGTGACTTCTACTCTGAGCCGGATCAGCTGCTAGTCCCGGCTGGGCTGGAAGCAGGAGAGGACGGGACTTCCTCTTCCCCTACAAGGAGTGGGTGAGGCTGTGTCAGACCAACCCCCAGAAACCTCCCGCAGCTGCAGGAAGCTCAGCATCCTCCCCTGCTTCCTGCCCCCATCGCTCCTCAGCTGTGGGGGGGGAGGGGTCACTGTACGGGGAGCTGCTCGCCCATCCCCCCGACCTCCCATACCCAGACACCCCTGCCAAGCCTGACCCTCACCCAGAACCCCCCTGGCCTTTCATATCTGAACCTCATCCCAACCCCTGCATCTGGAGGCCCCCTGCACCCAGAACCCCTGCCTCTGGACTCCCACTCCTGCACCCAGACCACCCCCACTGAGCTTCCTGCACTCAAACTCCCATCCTCCCATGCCACTGGCCCCCAACTAGCTCCACCCAGACCTCCACCCCACCAAGCCCCACTCCCCCAGAACCCAGACCCCTCTGCTGAGCCCCAACCACTTTCACCTGGAAGCCCGTGCAGAGTCCCATTGCCCCTGCACATGGAAGCCCCCCAATGAGCCTCTTTGAATCCAGATCCCCTCACACCTAGATCCCCAACTGAGCTGCCTGCACCCAGATTGTCCCACCAGAATCCTCTCACTCCACACCTGGATCCCTCCCACACTGAGTCCCTCCACACTTGGATCTTGCCTGGTTGAGCCTGTCTGCCCCACATCTGGGGCAGAGGGGCAGGGCCCCAGGGTGTTTCTGGGGCAGGCCCAGGCCTTGTGCTGTGTCAGGGTTGGGTGCAGTCTCACCACTGAGTCCCGGGGAGTGGGGAGGCTGCAGGGTGATCTCCCACCTTCGTACAGCCGATGGCCTGTGCACCCCACTGCCATGCTGTAGTCTCTGCATTTATTTATTGACAAATAAAACTTGCAGAATTTTAAACTGTGCAGAATTTTTAATTTTTTGGTGCAGAATGCCTTCAGGAGTAGTGTTCAGTTGAGGCACCTGGTCTGCCAGCATCACTGGGGGATTTAAGGACTCCTAGGAGCCTTGCTGTTTCCTCTCAGCTTTCAGGGGAGGCAGAAGCATGCAGCCCAGCTATTGAAAAGAGAAGCTTTTCAGCAGCTGTTGGATTGGATTAGGCCTCAAGTTCTCCTAGACCAGTTAAGGGATGGAGGAAGAATCAAACATCACAGTCTTGGGAGCAGGACAGGCATCAGTGATACTCTGTCCCTCTTCCCAAAGACAAATGGCTCATCAGGTGAGAGACTGGAACACACAGAGTCTCAACCATTTTCACTGACCCTGGAAACCGGCCACTCAAATTCTGCTCTCCACCTCATTCTCCTCACTGAGTAAGGCTCCTTCTGTCTAGGATTGTCATCTCCGAGGTACAAAAAAACAGGACGTCCAAGATGATGTCCTGAGCCCATAAAAATGTATGGCTGACAGCGTGTATTGATCACCCTTACAGATTTCCTGGGACATTATCTCAGGAAAGGACGAACCGGAGAAAATCTGGACAGGTGGCAACCCTACTTTTGTTCCACACCCAGCTCTTCTCTCTTCTCTATTGGATCAGACTTAAGTGAAGGCTGCTAAACCCACTTCCCAACTTTTGTTCTACAATCCTCTTAGTGAGGGATTCTTCTTCCTACTCTGTAGACTTTGCCCCTCTTTCAGTAATGGAAAAAGAGCTGCCTATTCACAACCCTAGTATTACAGCTGATGCATCTGAGCATAAGCAGTTAGTGACATCAGCAGTTAGCTTGTGTCATAATAGCTATTGTGAATACATAGAATATATATGTTTTAGAGCAGGCATCATCACAGACCCTGAATAACTTGATTTAATCCCAGCTCTTCATAAGTCATACTGCTAGGAAAATTATTGAGTTCAGATACAGAGGAGAGGAAACTTGTAGGGGAATTAAATAAAAATTCTTTTTGAAAAAATTCATTTTAGAGTGACATTTTGATTAAGGTAAGCATTCATTCTGGCACAGACAGTAAAGGACTACTTCATATTTTTTTATATTTAGGATTAAAAGCTGCAGAAGTTTCTTCTCTACCACCATCAATAATTTTGGATGCAAAGGAGATCACAACTCATATTGCTAGACAAATTTTGGTATGTAGTAGTAATTTGCAGTAGTCCAATTATAATCTTATAAAACACATACCTTCAATATATTCTCGTGTATTGTCTATTGTTTGATAAAAATGTAAGTAACTCAATGATATATTACAGAGGTACATAAGTATGGCACATAAAAATAAGATCTAATGATATAGGGCAACTGTGTTACTGGTTATTGGGAATTTTTAAAGAAAATCAGTTTTACTTTTAACAAATTTGCTAATAAAATTACTGCGAGAAAGGGAGAGAAGGATTTTATTTTATTTTATTTTCAAAAAGCTTCTTTATTTCATGAACTGTTGCGAAAAAATAAATAAATATGTAATTTATTTATATAACCTTTGTAACCTTTCACCAGAATTTTACAGACTAAGAAGCTGTTCCTAGGATAGATTTCAAACAGATTTCTCAGTTCATTCTGGTGTTAGGTCAAGAAACTAAACATTATGTTTTTGGGAGCAGTTTTAATGGGTTTTACTGAAGATCACTGTCAAATGACAACACAGAGCTCTGTCATTACTATTATGAAGTACTAGACAAGGTCCTAGATAGAATCTGCAAACGGTATATCAGCAGACTCAGATATGGGACAGGCAGAAAACAGCCAACATTACTACTTCAATAAATGAATATCTGTGTTCACATTTTAATGTATGTGTTTATTTTTAACAACAGCAAAAGCAAAGAACCACTCCTGAGACATTAAGACAAAGGGCTGTATACCATCTAGCAACAAGGCTGGTTCAAACTGCAAGGAACTCTCGATTGGATCCAGACAGTTTGCGAATATTCTTGAAAGGCCTGAAAAAAAAGTATGAAGCTGATTGTCCTGTGTCTGGACAAGCACAAACTGAAGATGGACAGTAATTTATAGCTTACACCGATGGACTAATTTATTTGGTGCGGGCCAGAATATTTATTTTCTGTATCACTGACATGTAATGTTTTTTATTTTTTAAAATCTTTGATTCTCATCATAAATTATATTCACTACTGAAGCACCACATTCCCTATATGTGGGTATAAATAGTTATTCCTCTGAAGAATTTTTTTGGAGCAAATTTTAAACAGAAGCATTTATTTTGTATAAATAGTATAACTATGAAACAATTTTTTTCCATATGACTCTTGATATGTCAGTGATGGCCAAAAGTCCCTATATGCTTTCTTCTGAAGAGATTGAGGGCAGGGGGCCCCACTCCATTTTGCTAGAGATGGTGGAGACACTACTCCAACTCTTCTCTAGCAACAGAGGATGGTGAATAGGGGTATGTCTACACTACGAGAGTAGTTCGATTTTACTTAAATCCAATATGTGGAATCGATATTACAAAGTCGAACGTGTGTATCCACACTAAGGGCAGTAATTCGACTTTGTGAGTCCACACTAACGGGGCAAGCGTCGACATTGGAAGCGGTGCACTGTGGGCAGCTATCCCACAGTTCCCGCAGTCCCCGCTGCCCATTGGAATTCTGGGTCGAGCCCCCAATGCCTGCTGGGGAAAAAAATGTGTCGAGGGTGGTTTTGGGTAACTGTCGTCATCCAACCGTCACTCCCGCCCTCCCTCCCTGAAAGCGCCGGCGGGCAATCATTTCGCGCGCTTTTCTGGTGAGTGACCGCGCGGACGCCACAGCACTGTGAGCATGGAGCCCGCTGCGACCATCGCTGCAGTTATGGCCGTTTTCAACACCTCGCACCTTATCGTCCACCTTTTCCAGAGGCAGATGCTGAGAAATCGGGCGAGGAGGCTACTGCATCACGGTGAGGACATGAAGTCTGAGAGTGGCACAGACCTCTCACAAAGCACGGGACCCCGTGCCGTGAACATCATGGTGACAATGGGTCATGTTGATGCTGTGGAACGGCGATTCTGGGCCCGGGAAACAAGCACGGACTGGTGGAACCGCATAGTGCTGCAGGTCTGGGATGAATCACAGTGGCTGCGAAACTTTCGGATGCGGAAGGGAACTTTCCTGGAACTTTGTGAGCTGCTGTCCCCTGCCCTGAAGCGCAAGGACACCCGGATGCGAGCAGCCCTGACTGTCCAGAAGCGAGTGGCCATAGCCCTCTGGAAGCTTGCAACGCCAGACAGCTACCGGTCAGTCGCGAACCACTTTGGTGTGGGCAAATCTACCGTGGGGGTTGCTGTGATGCAAGTAGCCAACGCAATCGTTGAGCTACTGCTGTCAAAGGTAGTGACCCTTGGAAACGTGCAGGTCATCATAGATGGCTTCGCTGCGATGGGATTCCCAAACTGCGGTGGGGCTATAGATGGAACTCACATCCCTATCCTGGGACCGGACCACCAGGCCAGCCAGTACATTAACCAAAAGGGCTACTTTTCAATGGTGCTGCAAGCACTGGTGGACCATAGGGGACGTTTTACAAACATCAACATCGGATGGCCGGGCAAGGTTCATGACGCTCGTGTTTTCAGGAACTCTGGTCTGTTTAGACGGCTGCAGGAAGGTATTTACTTCCCGGACCACAAAATAACTGTTGGGGATGTGGAGATGCCTATAGTGATCCTCGGGGACCCAGCCTACCCGCTAATGCCCTGGCTCATGAAGCCCTATACAGGTGCCCTGGACACTGAAAAAGAACTCTTCAACTACCGTCTCAGCAAGTGCAGAATGGTGGTGGAGTGTGCTTTTGGACGTCTCAAGGGGAGATGAAGAAGCTTACTGACTCTCTCTGATCTCAGCGAAACCAATATCCCCATTGTTATTGCAGCTTGCTGTGTGCTCCACAATCTCTGTGAGAGCAAGGGGGAGACCTTTATGGCGGGGTGGGAGGTTGAGGCAAATAGCCTGGCTGCTGATTACGCCCAGCCAGACAGCCGTGCGATTAGAAGAGCCCAGCGGGACGCGCTGTGCATCCGGGAGGCTTTGAAAGCTAGGTTCCTGAGTGAGCAGGGTAACCTGTGACTATTAACTTTGTTTAAAGAGAAGCTGAACCTGCCCCCGTCTCTTTACCCAGTTTATGTTGACTATCCTCTGCAGCTACATACCCCGTTCACCCCGTCCCCCCCCCTTCCAACACACGTTTAAAAATAAAAAAAATGGAACTTTGTTAATGAACACCATTTTCTTTATTACGGGTTTCGCGGTAAAGGGTTGAAACTGGGACGCAGACTGTGGTGGGGAGCGGGCGTAGTGATGGAAAGAACGCTTATAAACTCGAGGAATGACAGGCTCCTGCTCCTAGAGTGGTCAGCAGTGGTGGACTGGTTGTTTCAACGGAGCCTGCCACCCCTCCTTTTCGGGACTCTATGTGTGGGGGCTATGTGACTTTGTGGCGGGGGGAGGACGCTGCTGCGTGGCTCTGTGATCCAGGATAAGGACTGCTGCATAAGATCTCTAACCGCCCTCCCCCGCCACAAACTCACATAGCCCCCTCACACACACAGAACATGAAAACCACCTCCCAGACTGACCAGGGTGCCTAGTGACTGCAATGTGTGTGTGACCTGCTGCTGAACATGCCCCCCTGTCTGTACCCTGGTAAAGGTGACTGTCCTGTCCAATTACCAACCCCCTTCCCCCCCTTCGAACACACTGTCCTCTAAAAGAACATGATGGAAACAGTAATTAACAGAAACGTATTTTTTATTAGCAACTAAACAGTTAGGGGATGAAACTGGGCCGGGGGCTTGGGTGAGGCGGGAAGGAAAGGACTTATCAAATTTTGGGGAATGAGAGCCTTCTGTTACTTGAGCAGTCTGCAGGGGTGGAGTGACAGTTTTCACGGCCCCTGCCGCCCCTCCTTCTTGGGACTTTGGGTGAGGGGGGTATGGGACTTTGTGGCGGGGGAGGGTGGTTAGAGATAGACTGCAGCGGGGCTCTGTCCTCCTGCCTCCGGTCCTGCAGAACATCCACAAGGCGCCGGAGCATGTCCGTTTGCTCCCTCATTAGTCCAAGCAGCGTTTGAGTCGCCTTCTGGTCTTCCTGACGCCACCTCTCCCGTTCAATGTGTGATCGATGGATTTGCGACATGTTCTCCCTCCACTGGGTCTGCTGGGCCGCCTCGGCTCGGGAGCAGCCCATAAGTTCTGAGAACATGTCGTCCCGTGTCCTGTTCTTTCTCCGCCTAATCTGCGCCAGCCTCTGGGAGGGGGATGCCAGGGTAGGTCGGGAGACAGTCACAGCTGTGGGATGGGGAAAAGGGAGTGAATTCCTCACAAAGATAATTTTTTGTGAACAATGAACATAGTCTTTCTCTGTGAACAAGACCATGCACAGCACCTATCACATGCGCACTCAGGACAAAGTTGAATTTTCGGCCTTCGCATTCAGTGCCTGGGGTCTTGCACTGGAGATCAGACAAGCGGGGCAGGACAGCGGAATTCGGGTAGCAGGCTGACATGGTAAGCCGTAGACTTTTGGCTGCTTAAAACTTAAATTATAGCAGTGCCCTCCTTTCACATTCAAAGCAATGCTCCTAGCGTTGGCCAGTTCCTGCTGCCGGCAATCCGGCAAGCATGAACTCTGCCCCTTCCCACCCCCTCGCGGCTGTCCCCGGGAAAGATCCCTGTATGCTGCCCCTCTCCCGCCTCCACCGCGTGGCTGTAAACCGCCGGTTACAGTTCTGTAAAGGAACAGGCAAGCAGTCCCAACAGTAACATTCCCCTAATTCTAAGCAGGTCACCATGAGCGACATCACTCTGCTGAGGATTTCTGGGACAGAGAAAGACCGCATGCTGCGTGAAAGCCAGCAAAAACCAGGGCCATATGCCGCCATGCTCTGCAAGGCAATGATCCCAGAGTACTTGATGATAGCCTGGCGTGGAAAAGTTTCCTATCACGGAGGACACAATAAGGCCGCTCTCCCCAGGAACCTCATGCAAAGGCTTTCCAATTACCTCCAGGAGAGCTTCGTGGAGATGTCCCATGAGGATTTCAGCTCTATCCCCGGACATATAGACCTTCTTTTCCAGTAGCTGCACTGGCAAGGACTAAAAAGTAGAGCGCCTAGGGCAAACTAATCATGATAAACCGGACATTGTTAGATTCTTTTGCAGTAGTTGCACTGCCAAGGACTAAAACGTGAAGCACCTAGGGCAAACTAATCATGAAAAACCCATTGTTAATATTGTTAATATTCCTGTTCTGTTCAAAATGTTTACATGTTTTAAACACTTACCGACTGATCCTTCCCCTGATTCTGGGTCCGGGTTAACGCCTGGGGACGGTTGGTAGGGGATCTCTGTGAGGGTGATGAAGAGATCCTGGCTGTTGGGGAAATCAGTGTTGTAAGCGCTGTCGACTGCCTCATCCTCCTCATCTCCTTCCTCATCTTCCCCGTCCGCTAACATCTCCGAGGAACCGGCCGTCGACAAAATCCCGTCCACAGTCAGTGGTGGGGTAGTGGTGGCGGCCGCACCTAGAATGGATTGCAGTGCCTCGTAGAAACGGCATGTCTGGGGCTGGGATCCGGAGCGTCCGTTTGCCTCTTTGGTCTTCTGGTAGCCTTGTCTCAGCTCCTTGATTTTCACATGGCACTGCGTTGCATCCCGGCTGTATCCTCTCTCTGTCATGGCTTTTGAGATCTTCTCGTAGATCTTTGCGTTCCGTCTTTTCGAGTGCAGCTCCGAAAGCACGGACTCATCGCCCCACACAGCGATCAGATCCAAGACTTCCCGATCAGTCCATGCTGGGGCCCTCTTTCTATTTTGGGATTGCATGGTCACCTCTGCTGGAGAGCTCTGCATCGTTGCCAGTGCTGATGAGCTCGCCACGATGTCCAAACAGGAAATGAGATTCAAACTGCCCAGACAGGAAAAGGAATTCAAATTTTCCCAGGGCTTTTCCTGTGTGGCTGGTCAGAGCATCCGAGCTCGGACTGCTGTCCAGAGCGTCAACAGAGT